CATGAAAGTGCCCTTACGCATGCGAAAGTTTTGCAGCCACTGGGAATCATCCCAGATCTGCAACACTATGCGGTCCCACCAGTCTGTGTTTGTTTCCTGGGCCCAGAATCGGCGTTCCATGGCATGAACCTGCCCCATTACCACCATGATGTCCAAATTGCCAGGGCCCGTGCTTTCAGAGAAGTCTGTGTCCATGTCCTCATCACTATTGTGATCGCGCTGTCAACACCTCCTTGCCTGCTTTTGCAGGTTCTGCACATACTGCAGGATAATGTGTGAGGTGTTTACAATGCTCACAGCAGCAGCGGTGAGCTGAGTGGGCTCCATGCTTCCCATGGTATGGTGTCTACAGGAAAGCAGAGTTGCAGTGGAAGAGGTGGAGGACGACGGTTAGCACCACACACATTTCCTGAAGAAGAGCACACGTACCCGGGAGCCCATGACAGAAAACATGTAGAAATTCGCTATTGAGGCAACAGCAGCAGAGCAGAGTTGCAGTGGAAGCGGTCTATGATGATGGTTTGCAGAGCTACTACACCGTCTGCTGCCAGCAGCACCCAGGACACAACAGCGGCGGTGTCAGTGAGCTGAGCTGAGCGGGCTGCACGCTTGCTGTGGTATGGCGTCTGCACGGAAAAACGGTGCGAAACAATTGTCTGCCGTTGCTTTCACGGAGGGAGGGGAGACTGACGACATGTACCCAAAACCACCTGCAACAATGTTTTTGCCCCATCAGGCATTGGGAGCTTAACCCAGAATTCCAATGGGCGGCGGAGACTGTGGGAACTGTGGGATAGCTACCCACAGTCACTGCTCCGTAAGTCAATGCTAGCCACAGTAGTGAGGACGCACTCGGCCGACTTAATGCGCTTAGTGTGGACATACGCAATCAACTGTATAAAATCGATTTCTAAAAATCGACTTCTATAAAATCAACCTAATTTCATAGTGTAGACATACCCTGAGACTCACTGCTGCAGGGTTTTTCCCCCCATGTAGACGTACCTGAGTCCAAATCACTTCTGATTCTGAAAGAGGCTCACTAAGAGTTGTGGTTTATTAAAGAGGAAAAAAAGTGAATGCATGTCATTTAAAATGCATTTATGGTGTGGAGAGGGCTGACTTGTCAGTGAGAATACTAAGATTTATAAAAAGCTGTAAATATGAGCGCTATCGTGCTAGATTTCATTACTTTAGAGCCTCCCACCTGCTTAAAGCAGCTATAAGCCCCTTTGGGCAATTCACAGTGTTTACTAATTGTGCCTCTTGGCATGTGTATAAAAGTGTGATTTTTGAAAAGTCAAAGTACAAGCTGAAACCAAGAAAGTTGAAAGTCATGCTAGTAGCTTCAAACCTTAATAACTAGTAAGTTATCAAAGTTTAAGGCTCTCGAGTGCCTTAATCTTTTTTTTTTTTTTTTAAACATAAGCAATTCAATTTTAGGTATCTCCAAAAATGATAACAGGATTTTCCAGGTGGGTTTGGCTAGTTTGCAAAAATAAATCCCATTTATAGAAAAGACAGTCTTTAAAAATTGAGTCTAACTAAAATGGAGTCAAATGTTTGTGAGTGGTGAGTAAACTGTGAAATTAAGGTTGCCAACTGTCTAATTGCACAAACCCCAAACCCCTTGTCCTGCCCTCCCTGAGGCCCCACCCCTTCTCCAAGGCCCCACCCCCGCTCACTCCATCCCCCCTTCCTTCATTGCTGGCTCTCCCTCACTTACTTTCACTGGGCTGGGACAGAGGGTTGGGGTGCGGGCTCTGGGCTGGGTGGGTGGGGCCAAGGAGTTGAGAGTGTGGGAGGAGGCTCCAGGCTAAGCCTGCGGCAGGGATGTGGGGAGCAAGAGGGAGCATGGGCTCTGGGAGGGAGTTTGGGTGTGGGAGGGGGTTCAGGGCTGGGGTGTGGAGAGGGTGAGGGATGTAGGCTCCAGGCGGCGCTTACCTTGGGTGGCTCCCGGAAGCAACCAGCACGTCCAGCTCCTAGGCAGAGGCACGGCCAGGTGGCTCTGCCCACTGCCCGTCTGTAGGTCCCACCCCCGCAGCTCCCATTGCCCGCAGTTCCCGGCCAATGGGAGCTGCGGAGTTGGTGCTCAGGGTGTGGGGGCAGTGCACGGAGACCCCCTGGCCAGCCCTGCACTTAAGAGCCAAACATGCCGGCTGCTGCCCGAAGCCGCACGGAGCCAGGGCAGGTAGGGAGTACAGGAGAAATCAGGATATAATAATACTGAGCTTGTAATTTCTAAAATAGGATGTAGATAATAGACTCTTACAGTTTTCTTGAATAAAAATCATGTTCCACATTAAATAAAATAAAAAATATAAAAAAAATATAAAAAATTATACTGATTCATAGTATGATAAATCAAAAATTGTTCTGAGAGGTGAACTGGAAGCAGCTAAGGGCTGCTGAACAGTTAGTATAAATAAAAACTTGTTGCATTGACTTTTTTTTTACCTGCTATATGAAAACCTAAGAACTATGTTTCAAGGCCAAAAAAAGCCTTGGCGAAGCCCTGAAGAGTTCTTTGTTCTGAACGCCATTAACTAAATCTCAACACATCTCACACATTAAAACAAACCATTTCAAAAGAAATCACCACTTAAAATAGTTAAAAAATTCAATATTAAATTCCCAGTGACTTCAATAAAAAAGCAAGTATGGTCATTCTTAGAGTACAGGTGAGAAGAAAAAATGTAGATGCAAAGTGTTGCAGAAACTTTAATAGGAGTCAGAGCTAAAAGCCAAAGTAATGATTTGAAAATTTAGGGTGTTATCTGTATATTTTAAGACAATTATATGTAATTTCCATTCTTTGTCTCTCAAGATTTTGCATGAAATTTAACATTCAGAACTTTTTTTTTTTTTTTTAAAGCTTAATTGCAAGTTGCTAATCCAGTTATCCAGAATGACTTTTAAACAAATCTTTGAGGAAATGAAGTGCAACAAAATGAGGATCTGATTACTTTACTTCCTAGACTTCTTACTTGACCCCAAAGTCAAAACCAGGTAATCTTCTATATTAGTATGTGGATCAGATGGAAATGGCGCATTATAGTTAGGTTTGGAAGCATTCGATTTTTATCAATAAATGTTGGTAAACTCTGATTTCACTGTACACACACAGAAACCAATGAAAAATATTTCCAGATGATATCTGAAACTGAGAGGCAAAGCAAGAGAAGTGCTGCTTGAGAACTTATTAGCGTTTGATTCAAGGATATTTATTTTGTATATTTTGACATGTGATGTTGACAATTTGTGTTTTAACCATTATAAGGTTTTAACTTTTTGCATCTCACTGTCTAATATCATTAAATATTGTCTGACCCCAGCCAAATTTCCCACAATTGGTGAAAATGTAAATAGAGAAAAATCTAAAAAAAAACCAACCCAAAAAACCTTAAAATTGACATTGATATCTGTTGAAATAAAAATCGAATTCTGCAAAGCCTAATTATAGTTTGTGAAACGAAACACTGTTGAGTGTTGGTTTAGCCATTCTGCTCCTCCAGAATAAAATGAAAAAGGCAGACTTAGTTTTTAGTGTCTGCAAAATTCTCCTCCAGTTTTGGGGTGGAATCTTGGATCTATTAAATTCAATGGCAAAACTTCCATTGACTTCAATGGGGGGCAGGATTTCACCCTTGATATTTATTGGTATACTGTACTTGTTACGTACTTTATCAGGTAAACTCAAAGAATGAAAGCTTCAGTAATTGCACTGTGCTCTGGAGGAATCCAGGCCTGAAATTGGAGGTGTATTAGGAGATAGGAATCATGTACATAGCATTCTAGTTCCTATGATTTTATCATGAGTGTCACAATATTTGATGTTTAGAGTCCCAGCTCCTGGATTCATATGGCTTCTTGAGAATCTCCGTTTTAAAAAAAAAAAGTTTTTAGCTCTCATGGTTTTGGAAAAAAGCTTGAAAATGTGAAGGAAGTGCACTCCAAAGGCTGAGAAACCAAAGGCAAACACAAAGAATGCAACTTTTTTTATTATTATTATTTTAAATTTCCTGATTTAAGACAATCTTATGATTTCTTGATGCATGTTTTGAACACCTGGGGTATTTGCAGAGCCATGTGGGGAAACCTCCACAGTGTCAGCTTATTTCCAAAGCTATCTGCTTCATTTTTGTTAGCAGCCTACTTTCAGGCAAACAGAGCTTAATACATAGGTAAGAGCAATTTGTTAATTTTTTTTCTCATTGGAAAATCTTAATTTACAGTTGAACTGGAAAATTCTCATACTGAAATTTACATATACACAAAAGTACATTTCCTTATACAAAAGCGTGGAAAAGGCAACAGTTCTATCAATTCAAATGAACAATGTAGGAACACTGTGCAATATGTGCCAACAACGTAATCTCTGGGAAGAAAACACAGAGAAAAAGTCCTTGAATTATTTTTACAAAGGGGAGAGGGGAACAGTAAAAGAGATGGTGGATTAGGACTACTTCTTCCAAATGTTCTTTTGAAATACATATTAACAGATCAAGGGTAACGTAAATATCCTCCAAACACATCTATTATGCACAAAACATACAATCTTTTAAAAAAATCCTACAGTTTAGAAATGATAAGAAATGACAATAATCCAAGTGGAAATACAAATATGCTCACAGCAGCTCGACTGGTGTTTAGGGAAAAAGCACATCAAAAAGGACTGTATCTTTAGATCAAACCCTGCAGGCAAAAGAACCTACACAGTCAACAAAAAAAAGAGAAGCAGTATTTTACGTCTTTTTATGATTTGAATCCACAGTAGATTTGGTTAGAAAAACAACAGAGAGAAAAAAATACGTTTTCATATAAATCATCTGCCCCAATTAGGATTTTAAAGAGCTTTATATAAGAACTATTGGTTTATTGGCAGATTATTAGAATTTGGACCAGCATCACTCGGCAAGGCCTGTATTAATAATAATGTGGTTTATGTGGTGTAGGGTCAGATCAGTAAAGAGCTGTTAACAGATGACAAGTTTGATTACCGTTGGCTGCAGGCAAGACATATGGATCCCTTAGGAACAGCAGCACAGGCTGGTGGGACAGTTTGCTGGAAAGGTCAAGAACAGGAATGTCAGCATCAAGGGACAGTAAACAGGATATACTACAAACTACCTTTGATAAAGTGAGGTGACCCAAGCTGCTCAGGAATAACGTCAGTATGTTTATATGCACAAACTCTGTGGAAAGGAGAAAATTTTCTGGGAGCAAAGCTCACTATTGCTTAGTGACACTTAACATGACAGCATCAGCTTGAAATTTGAGGTGAAGGGGGTCACACTCCTGTGGTGGTGGTAGCGGTGATGATGGCTTTAAGCCACCATTGAGCCCTCCTGATTCTGGGCTGTTCTGTGGTCTGTAAGAATATTTAGACTACCATGGGGCAACCACTACATTAGGTTAGCCTCCTGGGCTGCCCAATGGGCCACAGAACTACTGGGAAACTGTGCAATACTCTTGCCCCAGATACTAGCCCAGCACACCCCCTACGCCAAGGCTTGTGAGAGTATAATTGGGAGGCAGCCTTATAGCTGCTGTCCACAATAGCTATGTCAAGGGAACCTTCCCCTTGACAGGCTAAGGCCCGTTCACACTGCTCTGAGTCTTTTACGTAGAGCAAAGGGGCCAGAGCAGGAGTAGTTTTTTTCCTTTTTAAATGAGAAGTAATTTTAGGTTCTATATCCGAATGCCCTTGCCAAGCTTTCAGATTTTACAATCCCATTTTCCTGGTTTTAGTTTTTATTAAATATTCATCTCTTCCCATGTGAAAGACCCATGCAAACAACAGGAGCAACTAACTGACTGACTGTATACAGTGAAACCCAACGTATGCAAAGTTCTGTCAAAAGCATGGAAAAAATCTCATTTTTTTCCCAATTATAGTCCTGTTACAACCAAGACCCAGCATGGGGTAAAAATGTTCACAGAGAGAGTTAAGCTGAAGGTGTCCCTTTTGTTTCTGTAAGAAATTCCAGAATATAAATTAAAGAGAGAGATGTGCAATTCATAATACAAACAGATCTGGTCCAGCTTATGAAACCAGATGCAGTGTTTAACGAATTCACCCAACATTTAATGCCAAGCTATTGTTATTTTGTCAATTGCTGGAACAAATGTAGGATGCCCTTTATGTGGGTAAATATCTATCTATCTATCTATCTATATATACATATATATCTAATTACTTCAGTGTCTTTGTTTTATATATTAGTAGACTGTTAAACCAATTTCCTTAGGAAAATTAGCAAAGGAAGCATGGCTTTTATTTACTTACACCACATTTAATTGTCTAGAAATGCTAGCAGTAATTATGAATTGCTCACCTTGATTCTTCAGATTCTGTTTCATCAAATGAACTAAAACAAAAATGCAGACAAATTAGATTATGCTTGCTTATAACAACATTAACATACAACTCCATATACAAAGAAAGCTGTTAATAACAGCTATGAAAGGAAAGACCCTTTTTCTGGTCAGTGGCTATGTAATGCAATGCAATTAATATGGAAGAACTCTCATGATTTTATTGTGATCCCAGCTTGTAAGTGACAACATGTATTTCACTGGAATAGATTCACATGCATAAATATATAAAAGTAGTGGGGTACAATTCCACTGAGAGATTCTGGTTGACATCATTAACTACAAGAGAAGAGTGTCAAGTAGCTTGTCCCTAAATCACCAAAGCTGGCATATTTACATTTTTGGGGGGATAATAAAGTTAGCACATTTATGTTTCATATTATTATTATTGACAGCAGCATAACAGATAACATTACATTAGCAATAAGTGAAGTATGTTTCCTGTTATATGAGCATTTTCAAACCAGTATCAAGTGTATGATAAGTAAAGTAAACCCTACATATCTTAAAGAGATTCTGTATGTATTAAATGTGAACAATGATTTCCCAAGCTCACAGTTTGAAACTACAATTACAAGGTTTTGTGAAAAATCATGACCCAGATCTAAGTCTTTTTGGAAACACCCATGTAAGGGAGTACAAAAGGCTATGAGGCTGCCCTGACAGTTTCCTTTGCATTCTTATGCTGGGGGGGGGGGGCAGTGTTTACTACAGTGTGGAAGAAAGCAAAGACCTGACCCACAAACCCTGTCCAAGATCCCTTTGCCTCCATAGTAGTTCTGGTCATATCACATCATATCAAGTCCTGTGGCGATGGGCGAGTGACGAAGCAGCAGGTGTGGATACACTGGGAGCTGTAGCCGCGGACCTGCACATAGGCGGCTCAGGCATAATGGTCGTTCGTCACTGACAGAAGCAGCAGTGGAGCTCGGCATCTTCTTGAGCGACTGAGCAGCCCTATTCAGGATTGCACTGCTCACTTCCGTAGAATGAGGAGGGGGCTAGAAAAGGTGCCCTAAACATTGCCTGCTTCACCTTACCCTGGCCAGCACACCGCGGCTGGCGGGGATCCCATAAAAGCGGTCGAACAAAAACAAAAACAAAATTTAGAGTGACACCGATCACTATTGGCACATGGAATGTGCGCACGTTACTGGACAACATCACAGCAGACAGACCGGAGAGAAGAACAGCACTTGTCGCTAGAGAGCTCGCACGCTACAACATTGACATTGCAGCCCTTAGTGAAACTCGCGTTGCTAATGAAGGACAGCTGTCCGAGTCAGGCGGTGGCTATACATTCTTCTGGAGTGGCCGCAGCAGTGATGAGCGACGCGAATCTGGAGTTGGCTTCGCCATCAAGAATCATCTTGTTCGGAAACTTGCCAGTTCCCCCAAGGGTATGAATGACTGGCTCATGACAATGCAGCTTCCGCTTCAAAAAGGAAAACAAGCTACTTTGATCAGCGCATATGCTCCTACAATGACCAACCCAGAGGATGTGAAGGATAAATTCTACGAAGAACTAGATACTCTGCTATCGTCAGTGCACCGCACAGACAAGCTAATTCTGCTTGGCGATTTTAACGCAAGAGTCGGATGCGATGCCGCAGCCTGGGAAGGAGTCATCGGGAAAAATGGAGTGGGAAAGTGTAACAGCAATGGCCTGTTACTGCTGAAAACTTGTGCAGCACATGACCTTCTGATCAGCAATACGGTCTTCCGCCTTCCTACCCGTAACAGGACTTCGTGGATGCATCCCCGTTCCAAGCACTGGCATTTGATCGATTATGTCATAATCAGGAGAAGGGACAGACAAGATGTCAGGGTTACAAAAGCTATGTGTTGGACGGATCATAGGCTCATAGTATCCAAAATGAAGCTCCGTATCATGCCGAAGAGACGACCACAAGGCTGTAAGGCTCTCAAAAGGATCAACGTGTCGAAGCTGAAGAACAGCCGCATCACTGAAAATCTAGCAGAAGACCTAGAGAATGAGCTTGCTGATCTTCATATTGAGGATGACGCTGAGAAAGACTGGGAGCGATTCCGCAACACTGTCCATACAGCTGCATCGAAGGTATTGGGGCCCTCCACATGCAGGTGGCAAGACTAGTTTGATGAAAATGATGCAGAAATCCAGGCCTTACTTGCTGAGAAGCACCGCCTGCATCGTGCATATCAAAACGATCCATCCTCAGCGGCAAAGAAGACCGCCTTTATCAACGCTCGCAGAACAGTACAGAACCGACTGCGCAAAATGCGGGACTTGTGGCTGAGTGCCAAAGCAAATGAAATACAGGCATATGCGGACAGGAATGACTATAAGCAGTTTTATGAAGCCCTTAACACACTCTATGGTCCACAGTCTTCTGGAAGTTTTCCCCTCCTGAACTCTGATGGTACTGTGCTCCTTACAGAGAAGACGCAGATTCTCCAGAGATGGGCTGAACACTTTGAAGCAATTCTCAATCGCCCCTCAGTCATCAATGATGAGGCCATTGACAAGATGCCCCAGGTTGCAGTCAATGACTCCATGGATGCTTCACCAGAAGAGGACGAAGTGAAGAAAGCTATCAATCAGCTGTCAAGTGGCAAAGCCCCAGGGTCAGATGCCATACCAGCAGAGGTGTACAAAGTCGGTGGACCCGTGCTGCTACGGAAACTCACTGAGCTGTTTCAGTCCTTCTGGAAGCAGGGAACCATTCCACAAGAATTTAGAGACGCGTCCATCCTGCACCTCTATAAGAGGAAGGGCAATCGCCAGGTATGCGACAATCACCGTGGAATCTCGCTGCTTTCTACAGCGGGGAAAGTTCTTGCACGGGTTCTGTTGAACCGATTGATCACTCACCTGGAGAAGGGCTTACTGCCAGAATCACAGTGTGGCTTCCGCAAGGGACGTGGGACTATTGACATGATCTTTGCTGTGCGTCAGCTACAGGAGAAATGTCAAGAGCAGAATCGTGAACTCTACACAACTTTTGTGGACCTCACGAAAGCATTTGACTCTGTCAGTCGCCAGGGCCTGTGGAGGATCATGTCGAAATTTGGCTGTCCAGACAGATTTATACGAATGGTACATCAATTTCATCACGGTATGATGGCTCGTGTCCTGGATGACAATGAAACATCTGAGGCCTTCCCAGTCACCAACGGCGTCAAGCAAGGGTGTATTTTAGCACCCACTTTGTTCAGCATGATATTCTCTGCCACTTTGACTGATGCCTTTCAACACTGCATTGAACGAGTAGGCCTGAAGTATAGAACTGACGGGAAACTATTCAATCTGAGGCAACTGGGTGCCATCACCAAGGTGAAGGAAACTGTACTTCGAGACTTAATCTTTGCCGATATTTGTGCTCTGAATGCTAGTACAGAGCCAGAAATGCAAGCCAGTATGGACAAGTTTTCAACTGCATGCAACAACTTTGGTCTCACCATTAACATCAAGAAGACTGAGGTCATGCACCAGCCAGCTCCCCACGCTCCGTACTCAGAACCGTCCATCACTGTAAATGGACAGAGACTTCAGACAGTGGACCACTTCACCTACCTGGGCAGTACCCTTTCCCGAACAGTGTCAATCGATGATGAAGTAAACTGCAGAATTGCTAAAGCCAGCTCTGCATTTGGCCGATTGCGCTCCAATGTTTGGGAACGTCGAGGGATCAGCCTACCAACGAAGCTGAAGGTCTACCGAGCAGTGGTGCTTCCAACTCTGCTGTATGCCTGCGAGACATGGACTGTCTATCGGAGTCATGCACAAAGGCTCAATCACTTCCACATTTCCTGTCTGCGAAAGCTTCTAAAAATCAGATGGCAGGACAAAGTGCCCGATACTGATGTCCTTACTAGAGCCAGTCTGCCGTCAGTTCACACATTGCTGATGAGAGCCCAGACCAGGTGGGCTGGACATATTGTGAGAATGTCAGATGAACACATTCCTAAACAGCTCTTCTATGGAGAACTCACTCAGGGAAAGCGTTCTCATGGAGGACAAAAGAAGCGGTTCAAGGACACGCTGAAGACCTCTTTGAAGTCCTTCGAGATCAACACCGCCACATGGGAAACCTTCGCACTGAAGGCACAGCCTCATTCACACAGGCAGTAATACCTCTGAGGCGAGGCGTATTGCTGAGGCTGAAAAAAAGCGTGAGCTGCGCAAGTCCAGAGCTGCTCGTACACCATCGACAGTGCCATTACATGTCTGCCCAACGTGTGACAGGACGTTCCACGCCCGAATCGGACTGATCAGTCATCTTCGGACGCACAGAGCCCGGTCATTGAAAGAATGAGTGTTGAGGTCTTTATCGATAACGATGGACGAACATCAGTTTTGCTCTGCTGTGGCTCTAGCCCCACTGACTGACAGCACAGCTCTACTGGCAACTTCCTTGACCACAGTTAGGCTTTGGGAGTGAGATCCTTACCCACGCTCCAGCCACTTTACACCAGGTAAAAGAGCTGTAGCAGAATAAAGGGGCTCCAACCCCCCCCCCCCCCGATCTGCTTGGGGAAGGGTTCCCTGGTGCAGGAACTGTGGAAGACAGTTATAAGGCCACTTTCCTAGGACCATCTCAAGCCCTGGCATGCTAGGGAAAGGGTCGGGGCAGGGCCGCAGCACACAATACTGTGGGGATTCCAGGCAGTGATGCAACCTGTAGGGGAGCCAAAGAAGGGCTATCTAAATTACTTCGGGGTCTGCCCTGCCCGTGGGTAGGCTCACGATAGGGATGGCACAAATATGGCTTTAAACCTCTTTACCCACCCTCCTTCCCCAAGGCTATGAGTTCTCTGTTGCACCTCTTAGAGGCACAGCAGAGAATTGCACCCTAAGAGTGGAAAGTACAGCAGAATGTAATATAATTTGACTATATTATTCTGGGAATTTCTGGTATACTGAAGGGAGGATAATGTTCATCTTCGTGCCCCCTTCATCCAAACCAACCCTGAACTCTTTCCTGGAAGGGAACTGTGGACACTGGTATAGTCTATGCCACCATGGAGATTGGGGAAGCCATGCACTGAGGGTCACCAGTTACAATTTGCCCCCATATAAGTAAAAGCAGATTCCAAACCCTGCCCTGCCCCTCCCCAGACTGGAAATCTTGTGGATTTCTTTAAAAAAATTTTGGTAGGTATTTCAAAGATCTGTTAAAAAATCCCATTTTTTCTATCTTGCTCTCATCTAAGCCTGTTTCTGCTTTGCTTTCAATGGATATACAATAAATGTCACCCTTCTGTCTTTGTACAGGATGTATTTTATTTTACTATGTTTTTATAGCTATGCAAATACACCCACAATGAAACTAATGCTCCTTTTAGTTATAGTGGTGTAAGTTAACAGCAAGTCCATTTAAAATCAATGGTGTTAAATCGTCAGAGAACTAATACAGCGCGAGAGGAGAATCAGCTCTGCCTTGTTTTTCTGTACATTTGGAGTTGTTTTAGTTAATGTGTTCTTACCCATAACTTTCTGCTTTCGGCAGAGAAGGGACATGCCGAACATTCAGGAAGTCTAGAAATATTTTGGGGAGATCTTCATTTTCTAAAATGATAGTCTGTAATACAGAAAATACACAATATCATTCAGTTCTTTTCTCATTATTTTTATTTATCCTCTAACAATAACTTTTAATAAGCAAACCACAATTACTCCAATTCTTTTCTAGTCACACAACATCTTCCAATACCACAATCCGTGTTACTAAATTCTGAGATTATGTCAGATTATGGTGATGCAAGACTGCCCTTTCCCATGCCAGCATCAGCGACAAACATTTATCCAAGAAAAGATTTACTATAAGTTTGAAGCTTAAATTTGATTTTTGGTACATTCATTTCAGAATAAAATTTTGATTTTGTTGTCCCCTTTTAAAATCAAAATCAACAGCAGCACATGCTTAATGACCTCAGCTACTTCATTTCCAGCACTTGAAAGTATCCCATCCATCATGGCAGTAGGAAAAAGGAACTCTCCTGTGTGTTCATGGGCTTACTCGGTGTTATTAATGCAAGATTTAGGGAATGTTAACAAGGTGAGTTGTTTGTTTGGCTTGACAGATCGGCTTACAATGCACTGGTCACATCCATAGTGTGGTCACCAATGACAAAGGCCTGGTGAAAGAGCTACTATCTAGACCTGCCATACTGTTCCATATTAATAATGTATGGCCTGGAATCCATTCCCCTTCCCAAATATTTTTCACCAAACAGATGATTTGTAGTTTTAGGAGTAAATTAGTAAATTAATTAGAAACAGATTTAATAGAAAAGGACACAACAGGTAAATGGGATTTTTAAATACCCATTCATGAGAGACAGGCTGATTTTTTAAGAACACGATAGACTTCTACAGTTTTATAGTAACTGGTAGGAGGCAGTTCGTAGCTGGTCTCCACTCCTCACATAAGACAAATAAAATAGTTCACAAATACATGTCATGGTTTCTCTGGAGGATTAAGGCCCTATTCACTTGTCACTCATACTGCTGAACATCTCCACTTGTTACTACAAAAGCCATACGGATGTATGGCACTTAACAGATAAAAGGCATAGTCACTCTGCTGAAGAGCTTTCTATCTCAGAGGCCTAATCCAGCAAACAATGCATATGAGTAACTTTACTCACATGAGTAAAGTTTGATCAAAGGAAACTACTCACACAAGTAAAGCTGCATACTGTGCTTGCAGGATTGGGTCCTTGGTTAGAACAGAACCATTGTGACAGGGTGAGAAAACAAGAGGCAAAGGTTGGTAATGGGAGGGAGCATTACACTATACAAGCTCATGAGCCAACATTCCTATTGTATGTAATCTAACCTTATACAATACAAAAGCTTATTTTTTCAATTTGGTTAATGTTGTGCAGTAGTACATGTGGGGAAAGAGCAATTCAACTATTTGTGTAACAAAAAAAGCTAGTTACGATTCATAAATATTACCATAAAATATGGGTAGACTTAAAAATAGAAATAAATTTTAAAATAAGATATCTGCACATCAGTTCTTTTTTTACTCTTCTTTCGGGACCTGAGTTCAGGGTTCCATATTTCTCCAGCAAGATCTGATGTCATAACAATGTGTTATATAAAAACAACCCTCGATCAGAGAATGCAGCTCCCAAACTGTTTTACCGTGACACCACTTCTTACAAGAGAAACAAAGTTCTCAAGTCTTGGCTGGTACAAAGCCTTTCAGTTCACCTTTAAATGAGGATGCAGCATTAAATGCTTCTTCATTTACATTCTGTGAAATCAGCACTATGGTGCTGCAAAATTCATCTTGCTCTGCATTCAAGTTATGCATGGGAGGAGGGGTGGAGGGGGATGCTTATTCAAAGGACATGTGAATTGCATAACAATGTGCACTATTTGCTCAAACAAAAACAATTTACTAATATTAATCAATCTTGCACCAAAAATCGTGTGTGCAAGAGCTGCTTCAGGGCATCTGTAATTTATGCACAATCCCTTAGTTCCACTTCTTGAGTTTTTCATACACCATGTTAGAGCAATTTGAGTGACTTGGTGAGGTCGGCTGCCGGTAAATTTAGAAGAAAGAAGAGATGGTGGGGGGAGGGGAAGGACATGTCACTGAACAAGAGAAGTTGTTCTGATGATGCTAACATATTATTGAAGCAAACTTATTTGTTGTTGCTGCTGCTCACTCAATTATTCCAAGTCAAATCAACCCAAGCCTGGACAACTAGTTATACAGCGCCCATGATTTCATTAAATTTGTTTAACTGCAAGGTCTCCGATGGACATTATTTCCTTAGACATTTCAGGATCTTACTTCCATTAGTTTAGCACTTGTTCAAGCCCTTTATTTTGGCAACCAGCAAACCTGAAACTGCAAGACAGACAGACATAACCCACCTTGATTTGATGTGGCATTTTGTCAGACTGTCATGAAGCAATGAAATACAAATACGGTTTCACTGAACTACAGTACATTTTCCAGATAATGCATGCCAAAAAGTCATAGCTATATTTTACATACTTCCAGAAACATTAAGGAATAAATCATGACATTCTAGAATAATCCTAATTTGGGATCAAATTCTCTGCTGGCCCAACTCTGCTGGGCTAGTAGAGAATTTGGCCCTTTGATTTGTATGCCATTGTATGCCATATAATGGAAGAGCTGCAAGAGAAACTGAAAACAGGGAAAGACAGCACAGATGACAACTGACCAACATATGTAACAATTCTAATCTTTGCTGTATTTCTTTTAGACTTGCAATTAAAAAAATTAATCAAATTAATCAAATAAGTAGGGGCTACAATCAAACTAGTTCCATTTACCTGAACAACCAATGCAATCATAAATTTTAGACACTGTCATTTAGAAAGTTATTTAAAGAATGCATATATTACAAACCATATTCTCCTTAATCTTTAAATAACAGATAAGCAGAAGAAGTGCTTCTTCTTGACTATGTGATAAAATTAGTGATAAAACACATACAAATAAACCCACTTTTCAGTCCAGTATGTGGTTATACATTTTAGATAGGAGCGCAGCGAGCTATATAAGACTTGTGTTACAAACTCCAAAACATATCTATGAAACAGGAAAAGATCACAGTAAGGTTATAAATTAATGTCTGGATTTTTCAATGTACCGTATTTAAACTCTACTTAGCAAGACCATAGCTAGTCCAGTTCCAAACCCTGTGCCGTTTTAACAAGCTGATTTAAGGAACAAGAGCAGCATATATGTTCTCTCTCCAAAATGAGAAGAGAACTAAAACACATAAGCCTACTGAAAGCAAATAATTTAGGAAGTGACTCCAGAAAAACATTTTTTCAAATTGGTCAATTCCATCTGTGTTGAGTACCATGTTTTCTTCACATATTTTAGAAAGCTGTTTACCAATTCCTGCCATATTTTAATAAGCCACTGCATGCTCCTGAAAAATATAACACTGGAAATACTAGTGTTTACATCATTAGAAATGTCTTTTTTATCAAAAGGGTGCAATTATTATTATGTAACACTAAAATCCAGATTTTTCTACTTTATCAGCTTCATAAAATCATGTTCCCTCAGGATGTCATTGATTAGTTGCACATGTTCTTTCAGTGACATCCCAAATTCTTAATTGTCAGTTATCTTTTCTCCTTCAGTAAGTAAAACATAGTCACAAAACTGCAGAGGGACTTGTTCTGCCTTAACCTTAGCTAGATGCCATCATGCAGTGGAAAACAGTGCTAAAATATCACAGGATAATGCTCTCCAGCAAGGGAGACATATAAACAGCATAATGATTTCCCACGAGTTTCCTTTTTAGAAAATTGTCACTAAAGCCAGCATAAATGGTGACATATCTTCACAGAGGACACTGTGAAATCGAACACTGGCATTCTAGTTAGGTCCAAACCTACTCATCAGCCAATTATAACAGTAACTGAACATCTTGTTGAAAACTTGGACAAGACCAGTTTGCTAACCTTCCAAGATTGTGCTACAGGAATGCATTGTTTTTACTGACTGATTATTTTTTAACAAAACAGTTTTAAAAATTCATTGCTTCCAATCATCTATCATAGTTTCTCAAGATCTGTGGAACACCTTTTAGTTAGGAGAGTCAGTATGGAGAGCTAAGATGCCGAGTTTCTAAGAGTCCTTAAAGCTTTTTCCTTTCATTCTGGTTTAGTCTGAGATGCCCTATTGTTAGGGTGAAAAAGTTCATGACAGTTTTTCCTCTCTTCACAAGGAAGGATGCTTCACAATACCTAATTCAGTGGTGCAGCTAAAAATGGGGGAGAAAAAAATCAATACATCCTAGCTACAGTAAGTAGGCTGGAGTGACAGTCTCCACTGGGACTGAAACCTACAAGCTTTTAGAATGCTTTAGAGTCTATATTCTTCTATTTACCTGCTTTCCAGCAGCTGCTTACACAATCCTATGAAATGATAAAAAGGTTAGCAAAAGAACATATTAAACTAAAAAGAAGTAGACTACATGAAAAAACCTGGTTTCTAAGAATGATCTTTTCTTTTCCTGAAAAAGCAATAGCAGATACGCTTTTGCTAATCACATCAGAATGCTTGCTTCTTATCCAGCATGGTTCCATAGTGAAGAATTTCACTCTTCTTCAATAAAGCATATTATTGTATGCTGTTCTGGGTCAATGTTATTTTCACTCTACATAATTAACATACTTAGAAGCACATGCCACTCCCGCCAAAAAATGTTCTTCAGCAAAATGTGAATGCATAAGAATAAAAAGAGGTATAAAAAGAGACACTGAAACACTTAAATGTGTATAGAAAATGCAAGAAATATAGAAAATATGCAGGAGGAAGTAGAAGTGATGCTAAATGGAAAGCACAACCTTAGTGGACATAAATTTAACTAAATTCTCACAAATGGAATGTTAAGAGTGATGCGTGCAAACTATGAAGGAGGGACAGAAGGGGGACAAAAAGTAGAGGGAGGATACAAGCCCCTAAGCCAGGGGTGGCTAACTTGAGCCTGAGAAGGAGCCAGAATTTACCAATGTACAGTGCCAAAGAGCCACAGCAATACATCAGCAGCCCCCCATCAGCTC